GGGGTCCCTCTGGGGTCTCTGCCCTGGGTTCCTCTGGGATCTCTGCCCGGGGTCTTTCCCTTGGAGTCTCTGCCCTGGGGTTCCTCTTCTGGGGTTTCTGCTCTGGAATCTGTGACACTCTAGGCCAACATGTCACATTAGTTCCTGTTTTGCTTTGTTATTTGGCAGTGCGGGGGATGAACCCAGAGCCTCACACATGCTGGGCAAGTGCTCCACCACTGAGTATATTCCCAGCCATTTCTGTTTTTATTATTTTCTTCTCTTGGTGGTTCTGGGGATTGACCCCAAGGCCTCCTGGACCCTAAGAAAGTGCTCTACTACTAAATGACATCCCCAGCCCCCTATTTTTATTTTGAGACAGAGTTTTGAACTTGCAGTCCTCCTGCCTCAGCCTCCTGAGCAGCTGGGCTCACAGGCTGTGCCACTGCACCCAGCTCATTAGCTTATAAAGAGGGTAAAATCTTACATGTTTGCAACTCTTGACACTTCCTTGGGATTTTCTGAGAACTCTCCAGTCAGAACTCAATATGGACACAAATCTGACCCTATGACTGCAGAAGGCTGCCGCTCTCCGTAGTCCTGAAGATTCCCTTGAATTGGAACCTGTGTCAGTGAGACCAGCTTTCGGTGTCGTGGGGTTCAGTTCAAGTTGCATGTGGAGCAGAAGTGCTGAGTGACAGCTGTGGTGGGGTTTCAGTGGTCTGAGGCCTTGCACTGTTGTGTCCCTGGGGACTCCAGGCTGCCAGGGTCCATCACGTGCCTGGGAGGGTGTGGGGAGGTGGTGGACGGTACTGTCACCTCTGGAGAGCAGTCTGTTCGACCCTGCGGGGCCTCCTGCTCATGCCAGATAGCGTTTCTCTGGCCACTTCTTGGGTTGTGATGGTGATTGTGAAGGGGTGGTTGACGGGGATGGGCGGCGCTGCAGACTCCAGCTCCGGGGAGTTCCAGTGCACAGCCCACTTGGGCTACTGCATGGACTGCTGCTGAAGCCAGGCCCGGGGGCCGGCTGCCTCCGCCAAGTTGAACAGAGCAGAGCACTGTCGCTGCTGCTTCCAGTGACCTGCGGACGATGTGTGCGTGGGAGCCCTGGCTCGGGAGCAGCTGCCCTTTGCTGATCCCCAAGTGCCCAGAAGGCAGAGCCCTCCCCAGCCGAGGCCCTGCTGAGCAGACAGGCCCTGCTGCATGCCGGTGCCAAGGCTGTGCAGCCCACGAGTGGAAGGGTGGCGCACAGCCAGGGGCCGGGCAGGCCCCACAGTGCGAGGGGTGGCTGTGTCCAACACTGAGGTGTGCTCTCACCAGGTGTCTGCCACATGTCCACAGCACCAAGCTCTCGTGCACCCAAAGTTCACCAGCAGAAAACTCCCCGGGCACCAGGAAAGGGGCTCAGGCTGCCCCTGCCTCTGGTCCATGGGGTCAGGGTGTCAATGCACCCAGGCAACCTGATAGTGTCCAGTATGACCACCAGCCAACTCCCCGGGTCGGGGAGGCAGCAGGGGACCCACACCTCCTGGACACCCGCTCCTCCTCAGGTGCAGCCTGCGCAGGGCCGTGCTGTGCCACAGGCCGAGCTTCTTCACAAAGTCAGGAGGAAGCAGGGTCTCATCAGGACAGGACCTGAGCCGCCTAACCAGAGTAGGGTCCCTCCAGGCAGACCATGGGTCTGGCACCAGTTCTCCCTGCCGAGGAGCGAAGCCTGCAGTGAGTCGGCTGCATGGGATTCTCCCTCCCCCTGGGCGACGGTGAGCAGCTGAGGTGGGAAGGCCTGGCCTCCTGGTGCAGACGCCACGGCTGGGACTGCTGGGCGTCCCCCTCACTGCCCCTTAGCGGCAGCCTTGCCCGTGAGGATCAAGGGTGCATCGCCTGGCTCCTGTGCCCTTAGAGGGGCTGAGGTCACGGGCTGTTTCCCGTGGCAGGTGCGTCCCCTACGCTGGAGTCTTCTTGTTTTGTAAAGTGATTCTCGAGGCTCGCATTTTAACTTGGACGACTTTAGTCTTTTGATTTCTCAGATGGTGCTTTTGATGCCACGTGTGAGAGATCTGCCAAACCAAGGCCACGCAGGTTTCTCAGGTGTCCCCTAGGGGCCTTGCAGTCTCTGCGCAGGAGCTCAGGCCGCCCGCCCACGCCTGTCGCCTGTGTGTGGGTGGGAGAAGGCCTCAGTCTCCTCTGCTCCGTGGCCGTCCAGTGGGCAGCTGTCCTCTCCCAGTGCTGGCGCAGCTCCTTGCCCTGGGCACCTCCAGCATCGCACGGTGGTGGCCTCTGCTCTGGAGCCGGCTGTGGGGTTGGGGTGTGCTCCACCTTCACTCTCCTTTCCATGTTGATTTTGGCTCTTCTGGGCCCCTCCCCTTCTGCGTAAAACGAGGGTCTGCTGTTGCAGCCGCAGCTCGGCGTGGGGGGGGGCCATCCTAGCAGCCTGGGGTCTTGTGACCACACACCTGGAGTCCACGTCTTTCCGCTCCCTCTCTCCCTCGGTGGCCTCGCCAGCCCTTCCTGTCACAGCCAGCCCTGGCCCTGCGTCCGTAGCTGAGCTCCAGGTGCTCTGGCTGCCCACGTTGGCCTCCTTCACCCTTTCTCTGTGGTGCTGTCTGTTGCTGAGTCTCCCAGCAAGTCCCCGGTCTGGATGGTGTGCCTTCCGCCTGCACAGTGGCTCTTCTTGCAGTTCTGCTTCTCTCTGCAGTCCTCTATTTCCCCCTTTGGTCCACCTTGGCATCTAAACTGTCTGGTGTTCTAATGTCCTCGTTTGGTAGCGCTGACCTTTGTCCTCTGAGGCCCACTGCAGCCGATGCTCAGCATCCCACGTGCTTGAGGCTTGGGGTACGGGGCCCTGTCTTCAGTGACTACTGCCGTTTCCCTGTGTGCAGTGCTTCTCCTCTCCCGGCCACTGGGGTCAGGCCTCGTTTGCAGGTGTGGGGGCGAGGGCCCGGGCTGGGCTGCAGATTTTCTGCAATGTGCCTAATTCCAAGGCTGTGGCGAAGCCATGTGGGCCTCTCCAGGGGCAGGGCCAGGGCTCCCGTCCAGCTGGTGGTGTTATGGAAAAGCCCGAGTGGGGAAAGACCTGCCATCTTCACACAGAAGCACATGCAAGTGTCCTGGGCGAGGCACAGAGTTTGCGAGAGACTTGGGGTAAACAAAAGGCTTCTCTGACTGTGCTAGCCAATGCTGACCTCAGGCCACAGTAGTCTCCTGGGCTTCTGGTGGCCTTGTCAAGACTGACCTGCTCCTGGCTGCAGACCTGGAACCCCAGCCCTGGGCCCCTGCTCCACTCACAGCTTATTTTTCCTCCCCGGGGCTGGGCTCGAGCGTGCCTTTCAGAGAGCCCTGAGGGGCCTGGGTCTGGTCTGGGAACGGCTGTGGTGAGCACTGCCACAAGAGCCCACGTCCAGCGTACATCCTGGGTTGTCCCCCAGCCACCTCCAGGGGCTTCCTGTCTCTCCCCAGGTCTGGGAGAAGTTCTTGAGCACTGAGACTCCCCGGATTAACATGTTTATGGCGGTGCCCACGATATACGCCAAGCTGCTGGATTACTATGACCAGCACTTCACCCAGCCTCACGTCCGGGACTTTGTGCGTGCCGTGTGTGAAGAAAACATCAGGTGGGTGGAGGCCCCCGTCCCACAGGAAGGCCCGTGGCAGCTGACAGGCCTGCTGCGCTCTGTGTGGCCGGCCGCCCGCCCGGGCCTTGGTCCCCATGCAGCTCTCCGCGTCCTGGTCTCCGTCTCTTCTCCTGCCTGCCGCGCACATCTGTGTCCACCGGCCTTCTCGGTCTGTCTCCATCCGCTCTGCCTTCTCTCAGCTAGGCTTAGGTTTTCTCTTCTGTGGTAGTTTTTGGAAGACTTGTTTATATTCTAAAATGTACCCAACAAATTTAAAAATGCCAACAATTGGGTTTTGGCCCAAAGTTGTTTCCGTCATGAATCTTGCACTACGATGGTGCAGGGAAGCCCAGGGCCACCTGTCCTCCAGCAGCTCGGAGGCGGAGGCAGCAGGGTCACAAGCCTAATGAGACCCTGTCTCAAAAAAATAGGAAGTGCTGGGGTGCAGCTAGGGTAGAGCACCCTGGTTCAGTCCCAGCGTCCCTCACAGGTACACACAGATGTGTGCACAGGTGCATGCAGGTCCCTGCATGTGCGTGTGCGGAGCGTGCTGTGTGTGTATACGCGTACATACATGTGCACACACATGCACCTCTGTGGTGATGCTGGGTGACGACACCCTGGCCACCTGTGCCCGTGCGTGAGGACAGAGCTGAGCCCGTGGTTGTGCCCTAGGCTGATGGTGTCAGGCTCGGCTGCCCTGCCCACCCCTGTGCTGGAGCAGTGGAAGCACGCCACTGGCCACACACTGCTGGAGCGCTACGGCATGACTGAGATCGGCATGGCCCTGTCCAACCCGCTGGCCGGAACTCGCCTGCCAGGTAGGAGTAGCCCTGAGCGCCTGCACCTGGAAGAGGGGCCTAGAGGGTGCTGCCCTCTGCCATGGCCGTGGCCGACACCCTGGGTGCTCACCACCGCCGCCCCTGCCCCTGCTGTCCCCTGTGGTTGAGGATGAGGCAGGAGGGCCCTTTCCACCCCGGGCCCTGTGGGTCACCAAGGGGCACAGGGACAAGAGGCCTGGAGCCCAGGTCTCTCCTTCCCCCGTGGTCAACGTCTGCCCCAGTGCCTGGCTGGCAGCCTCGCGCCAGTGCTCCTTCCTGTGGCGGCCTCTGCAGGTGACGGGGGTCGTCACCTGTGCTAGCAGGTCACTCCCCTCCCTTTGCCTGGGGTCTTCTTGGCTGGGGACGGTTGTGGACACAGCCAAGATGTTGTGAACAAGGTGCTGGTTTCCTCGGGCACCCAGGCTGGGCTGCAGGGCTGCTGGATGCTCCTGTGCGTCCGCCCCACCCGGCCACGTCCTGGGCTCTGGGGTCTTCTGTTGTGTCTTCTCGGGTGAGTGGTGGCCTCAAGCGTTGCTACACGTCACGTGATGTCTTTGAGGCTTTGTGGGATCCTGGAGCCGGCCAGCCCCGTCTGTGTCCCTCTCGGTGTTTTGCTCTTCCAGTTCCTCTCCTTTCAGTGCCGTGTGATAGCCCCAGTTGCCCAGGGACTGGGGAAGCCAGTGTCTAGTCCAGGTCTCAGACCAGGTAGGGGACAGTGGCGGCACAGGCATGAGCAGGCGTGAGCATCGTACTGCAGTCAGCATGCTGGGCGGGTGGGAGGCTGTGTACGGTGAGCAGTGGGACCCGTCACAGGGCCTGGGAGCCACGGGGCCACTAGGGCTCTGTGGAGGGTGCAGTAGGCTGCCATCAGGGCATCCTGAGCAGAATGGCGGGCTCTGGTGGCTGTGGGGAGAGCTGCCAGTGGGCGGGAGATGGCGAGCAGGCCTGGCTGTCATTGTGAGAGGGAGGCAGTGCGAGCCACAGAAGCTGATCTCGCATCGGACCCTGGAGGACACGTGGGCACAGGCGGCCAACAGCTTGGCCAGCTCACACGTGCCATGGCATTGCTGTGTGGCAAGGCCCGTGTGTCTGTGCCAGCCTTGCCCTGTCTGCAGGGGTGGGACAGAGCTGGAGACCAGGCCCACGGCCCCAGGCTCCCCAGCCCTCACTCCTCGTGGTGTGTGATGGCCCACAAGAGTGCCAGTCTCTGCCGTCCCGGCTCCGGAACTCAGGTGCCATGTCCTCCCAGCCTGACTACAGGCTTGGGCCCCTCTTCTCCTGGAAGCAGGTGCTCTGTGGAGGGCTGTCCTCACGCAGCCCTGGGGTGGCGGTGGTGCCACCCTGTGCATACTCAAGGGCACTGAGGCTGGGGACCTGCCTAGTGGTGCAAGTGGACGTGGACCCATGCCTTTGGGCAGACAGGGCCACCCCGAAGCACAGAAATAGGATAGGGGCCTCCCCTGCCTTAGTGAGGGGACAGAGATGACAGAGGAGCTGAGGCTGCAGCAGGAGGGGAGGGGGCAAGCAAAGGCCTGGGAAGGATGGCCACAGAAAGGGGTGTTAAGGTGCAGGACAAGAGCCAGGGGCCAGGGGGACTTCCAGTGGTGGGGTGAGGAGGGCGCCTGGGCTCATGCTGACGGGAAAGAGGTCCAGAGGTGGGGAAGGGTCCAGAGACGTTGAGACTTGGGGCTGCCTGGGAAGAAGCTGGAGTGCAGGAACCCGGGTCCTGAGCACCTGGACACAGCCTTGTCTCGCCCCACGACAGCCGCTCGCCCACAGTGCACCTGCTGCTCCTGGCGGGGAGCGGTGCAGCAGCTACGCCACATCTGGAGCATCTCCTGGCAGTCGTGGGGAGGTGGGGTGGGACTCTGACCTTGGGGCCAAAGGGGGTACCCAGCCAAGACCCAGGCCTGTATTCCTGCTGCCTGGGCTGTGCTCTCCTGTCTGCGGAGCCTCAGCCCATTATTCCTGCAGTGGGCTGGGCCCACACCACCACCAGAACTCACTCAAGCTCCCTGGAGCCTGTCAGGGCATGGAGGGCAGCCCCAAGTGAGAGGACTGGCTGCAGGACCCATGTCCTGTGTCCAGCTCCAGCTTCCACCTCGTGGGGCTGTTTGAGGGGAGAGGCCTTGACCAGCATAGCATCCTGCCTTGACAGGGCTCCAGCCCTCGCCGCCTGTGCCCCCTCTGGTGGGACTAGGCACGCCAAGGCAGCACGAGCCTGGACCCCAGGATGAGGGGAAGGCTGATGGAGGGGCTTGGGCAGAGCGGACGGCTGTCCTGCAGGGCAGGGACTGGGACTGGGACAGCGGTGGCGCTCCCACAGGCTCCCATGGGTCTGTCACTGCCCCTGCTTCCTGCAGGTGACAGACACCTCCCAGAGCTCAGCCACTGCCAATAGTCAGGCCTGTGTGGGCAGCTCACCTGTTCCTCCCTGCGGGCAGCACTGTGGCCAGGTTCTGGTCAATCCACAGGTTCCCACTGGCTCCCAGAGCCTGAGAAGGCAGCTTCTGGCCTGGTGGGCTGGAGCCCAGGTCACATTCCAGGAGACAGAGCTGGTAAGAGGGCTCCGGGCCCAGAGGTGCTGCTCCACTGCTAGGACAGGTGCTCAGGGGACGGAGGGCCAAGCCAGCTGGTGGCTCATGCCGTTATTTCAGGAGCCCGAGAGGCTGAGGCAGCACGATGGCAAGTCTGAGGCCAGCCTGAGCGACTTAGCAAGACCCTGTCTCAAAATAAAGAGGGCTGGGATGCAGCTCCGTGTGCAGCACCCTGGGGGTCAGTCCCAGCACCATAAAAAGGAGGACAAGAGATCAGAGTGGCCTGTGTGTGAGGGAGGGCGGGTGGTCCCGTGGGTGATCCCACCCAGGGCCCTGAGCTCATGCCTGGTAGACGATGGTGATATTAGCATCGGGTCCTTGTCCCCCCAGGTTGAAGAGCGCCTGAGAAACGGTGGGACAAGAATAGAAAGTAAATTTTATTTAAGAAACAGAACAGGGCTGGGGTGCCCTGTGTGGAGCACTTGCCTGGTATGTGCGATGCACTGGGTTTGACTCAGCACCACCCGAAATACATAAATAAAACAGGTGCTTAAAAAACCTTTTTAAAAGAAAGAAAGGAAAAGAAATGAACAGAGAGTCTCCTCTGGAGAGGAGGGGCCCCAGAGCTGTTACTCCGGGAGGAGGGTTGCTTTGCCCCTTACAGATGACGTTAGGTTCCTTTTCTTGTGCCTCTGTGACCAAAGGCAGAAAAGAACCGAGCAGGGGTGAGTGCTCATGTTGGGAAGTGTGATCCTGCCCTCTCCAGGCCGTGTTGGAAGTGCCACCTACCCAGTTCCTGTCCTTGGCCCCGGTCTCATTGGCTTTGACCTGCTGAGGCCATGGAGCTCCTGCCTGGGCAGGTCCATCTGACCATCTGACCGTCTCTGGCATGGTGGGTCAGCTGAGGGGCTGGACCTCAGAGCTGGGCTGGCTGCCCTCCTATACCCACCCATCCTTCCCCACTGCATGGCAGAGGCTGCAGTCACCAAGGAACAGGGACCTGGCACACAGCAGAGGAGGCTGCAGCAGTGCCTCCAGCGGGCTGGCGCTCATGCAGCCCTTGGTCTTGTCACCGGTGACACCAGGGAAGCGGCCGGTGTTCACCTGGAGGTCTCAGCCCTCCTGGCACCTCCTGGCCCTCTCTCTGTAGCAGGGTTGCGCCTGGACTGCTGGGAGGGATCCCTTGCTTCACCCAAAACAAGGGCAGTGTGGACAGACCTGCCAGGAGTTGGGATCTGGGGGCTGGGGGCCCTTGAGTGGCCATCCTGGGGCTCTTCGTCCATGGCACACCCCACGATTCTGGCTGTGAAGATAAAGGCCCTGGAGCCACTCAGTGTACTCGGAGTGGCGAGTCTGGACAGTGGCTTCACGCCTGTGCTGGTGCCACTGCTGTCCCCTGCTCCACTCCCCCACCATGTGCCAGCTCTGGCATGAGTGGGGCAGGTGTCTCCAAGGCCGGCCTTTGCTGACCTACTAGGCTCAGCTGGCAGCAGAGGTGCTTTTGGAGCGCCCTCCTGTGCTGTGTGGGGCCTCCGGGAAGCATCTCTGCAGCTGGACTCGACGCCCGTCCACAGGCACCACCTGGCTTCAGCACAGGCAGTACCAAGCAAGCCCGCCTCCCCTCGAGCCAGGGCAGCACCTGCCCTCCTGCCTCAGCAAGCCCGCCTCCCCTGGTCCTGCTGTCGCCGGTCCCTGGTCCCTCCCTGCCCCTCGTCAGGATGCTCTAGCTCAGGGGCCAGCACTCCCTGGCTGGGCAGGTAGACGGAGTCTGCCACAGCAGCCGTGAGGCCACTTGGACAACCCTGCTGGAGCCTTGTGAGGTCGCCCCTTGAGTCTCAGGCGCGCCACACCCCCAGCACTGGCTCCTGGCCGTGCTCACAGAGCTCCGCTGGCACCCGGCGAGTGGGTGTCCCCTCTTCCAGGAGCTCCTGCCTCCT